TCTGAGTGAAGCCACATGATTGTAGCCAATGAGAGTAAGCAAAAAGGATTTGTGTATCTTCTGGGCTAAGGGATATAACTGCTGATATAAGACCCACCAAAGCTCTATTCCTACTGTTAGAGTGACTGACAGCATAAGAGATTGGGTTGTCTCCATCAACCTGGTGTCCTGATAAAGGTGACCTGCAGGAAGTATGTGGCACAGACAAGATCATCTACCCTGCATTATGCTTTGAATCTAGAAATGTCACCCTCTGTCCCTCTGCCAAAGTTCATGTTTGATGATTCCCAATGCAAGAAGGTCAAGAGGTGAGGTTTTAGGCAGTGATGGGAACTGTAACCTCATCAATGGACTAACCCATTTGATGGATTAATAATTTGAATTGTCTTCTGGGTGTCAACTATAGGCAAATGGAATGTGGATGGGAGAAGTAGGTCATTGGGGATGTGCCTTAGGAATTATATCTTGTCTATGTCTCCCCACTCTGCTCCCTGGCTAACATAAGTTAAACAGCTTTCCTCTACCACACTCTTCCATCATGATGTTCTGCCTCACGTTGGCCCCAGAGCAATGGAGTTGGCCAACAACAGTCTAAGACCTCTGAAACCCTGAGCACAAAATAAACTTTTCCTCCTCTAAGTTGTTCTTGTTGGGTACTTTGGTCACAGTGACCAAAAAAAAAAAAAAAAATGACTAACACCTTATATTCACAGAATTACTTTCCCCACCATACAAATACAAATGTAGTCAAATGAGGAAACACTTTACTTGCAGGGAAATACAGTAAATTTTTGTTGTGGATCCACCACCAATTTGAATTCTGAAATGGTCAAGTCAACTTCTAAAAGTCAAGACAAAAACATTTAATTACAATAATTTTAAAAAATCAAGTGCAAGTAAAATTACAAATATATTTTCAAAAAAGTCTTTTTCCTAATGTTTTAAAGTATCCAGAAATAGAATTTAAAAAAAATAGTCACACTTGAGTCCAGATAATAGCATTATAACAATTGTACAATTAAGAGGTCTTTTTCAGTCCCTTTTTGGACACCAAAGCTGATGATGTGTAATATATATTCACATATTGTTACACAATATCAATATTAAAGAATACCACACAGAAACATGAGTATGTTTAAGAGACACGAATTGCACTATGCTAACTTTAAAGTATAATAATCTAGCTAGTCAGTGTCATTTCTCATTTTTTGAATCTATAAATAAGTATGGATTCTGTAACTTGATTAAAATCTATGATTTTTTTTTACCCTGAAATTTTGTGGACCATAAAATTTAAATATAATTTGCTTAATACTAACCAGTTTTATCTTTCACAAACAGTATAACCAAAGCCTGGATTTTAAAATCTCAGAAATTTATTACAACATTTTGCTTCTTCCAAACAAAGCAGTTTTAGTTGCTTTTAACCATTTTCCCCTAACATACGATTTCATGGCTATTACACCATATGATTTGAATACGCTGCAGGGTAATACTCCTAACTGGACAGTTAAGGTATGTCTGAATTGGTCACCCTTTTCTGGAAGAGTTGATTATTTTCCATGAGAATGAAAGAGATTTTACATTGAAGCCTTTTGCTTCAGATGGCTAATGGATAAATCAATTACACAGGCAAGAGGAGTGAATGGAAATAATTGGGTATCTCTTTCCTTATAACTTAGTCTTATTGACCCCATGTACATAGTATCATCTCAATCTAAATGAAGGTAAACTTGTTAGAGCCTCTGAAATTCAGGTTTGCATACTATTTTTTACTCTCTAGTTTTTTTCTGAATTTAGTCCATAATTGGAGAGATCTACCAACACTATTTCCTTAATATAAAAAAAGAGATAGAAATTTCAGTTTATGGGGCAATACATGGGAAAAGATGTCCCTATGAAAATTAAAATATGGCTGGGGTCCCAGAATTGAAAGATTTGTTGGTATTCTCCACTAAATTTCCCAGCTTGTTTTGTTTTGTTTTTCGATCCTGTAACACCAACTTTTTGCCTGATATTGATGATTACAAACCAAAACTTCTCCTTAATGATAACAGGAAATAAAAGAACCAAATATTTCTAGATGAGCCCACTGGTAATTCCCAACTCCAAGGTGTACAGACCTCATTTACTATTTCTTAAGAGCAGCCTTTCTCAGTGTAAGAACATGATGCAATTTGGAAAAGGTGCTCAAACCAGCACCACTCTAACTCACATTGCATGTCCTTGCAAAGGATCCCAGGAAGTCACCATAGATACACGACCAGCAGGATTGTTTGGCCCAGACAGCGTGTGCTTAACAATTCCATGAAAAACACAATTGCGGAAATGGCATATGTTGGACACACCATGCAGGACCAGCTGGGCCCTGCTTCCTCCAGGAAATTCCAGCTGGGTTACAGGGCGGCTACTTTCCAAGACCATGATTCCCTTTAGGCCACTAGAGAGTCACAGGAGTTTGGGGTTCCTCATGGTTCACTGGATCCATGTGGTCACCATGCAGACACATGCTGTCAGTAGACATGGTGAGTGAGCCCAGCTTGGCATTTCCTTACAGGCCTTGCTCTTCAGTGCCCTCTAAGGTGACCCATTCCCCCAGCCCAGCTTGCAATTGCTGCTCACTTTGACTTTACCTTTGTTTTTGATGACAAAATATTCAGCTTCCCCCACTACTAGGAGTTTCACTCTGTGCCTCTCTTGACCTGAGGTAATTTAAACCTATTTCCTTCCTTGCCTTCTTAAAAGGAGGCTTAATGGAATTTTGAATTTTTCCTATTACAAAAATTCTTAACGTTTTTGTCAGGAGAGATTTGAAATATCACATAAAATGATGTACTCCCATCCCTCACCACCACCTCCAAATAACTGAATTACATAAATAAAACATTACGTGAAAAGTGCTTTTCTACAATTTATGGGAAGTGAATTTAACAAGAGCTGGCTCATTGTAGGAAAATTCAACTTATCTTTTCCTGATCCTTTTATTCTATACAGGGAGAGAAATTTATGTCAGTTAAAAAAATCTATTACTGCTTCTCATAACTGAATCCATTATTTTTCTCCATGATCCATCAGGGTAAAAACAAGAATAATAGATTGCTTTGACAGAACCTTGAACATAAATGTCCCAAAGAATCAAACATAGTAAGTTAAATGAGTTTCAGGTGGTATTAAAACAGGAAAGGATAACCTCCATTTTATATTTTAAAACCAAATCTTACTTAAAAATTTATTATTATCAGCTACTACAAAAAGACAGATTATATAGTAGTAGAATTTGCACAGTGAAATGGGAATATTTCCAATCATTCCTATATATGCCCAAGCAGAACTAAACCCAAAAAAATGAACTCAGGAAAAGAAATTATTTTAATTTTATAATTCTTTTAATCTTATAAATAACTGGTTATTTATGATCTACTTGATTTTATTAGTCTAGGTGACTTTAAATAAAGTTATCCTATACTCAGCCTACAGACTAAAAATATTGTTGACCTTATTTTACAAATAGTTTCACTTCTATGCATAGCTCTATAAACTTTAGTGCCATACGACTTATTTTAGTCTAAGGTCCTGGAACAATTCTAATGTATATGCACATACCTATCTGCCTAACACAAATATGTAGGGAGAATGTGGAGGAAGGTGATAGGTATATACATGCCTACGTTAATTCTAATAGTTAATCGCTCTCACAGGATTTTCTCAATGGACAGCTATCCAGCCTCTAATCTCTAATTTTTTTCAGATAAACCAAAAACCAACTTGTCTCCAGGGAAGGTAACTACATTCCCAGTTTCAGTGGCAGACCTTCTCCAAAACCAATCAACAAAGAACATTCACATTAGGTGTATTATTGGTTCAGATCTGGGCATGTGACTCTGGTTGACTTGAGCAGAAAAATAAGAATGATTTTTATGCAAACTTGGGAGAGAAGTTTCCCATTTTTCTCTCGTTGGATGAGGCATAGAAAAAGGAATCCCAGTTGCCACTACAGACATCTGTGACCATGAGAATGAAAACAATGTTGATGGCAGAGGGGAGGGTCGGGAAGGTCATGGCATGGGTCTTGATTGACATCATTGGGCTGTTAATGATATTATACCCCAAACCCTCTCTACCTCTTGCTCCCAGTTAAAAGAGTTCACAAATTTACTGATTGCTTATTCCATATTGATTGAAGGTTTTTGCAACTTCTTTTAAAGAAAGATAAGAAAATATACTCAAAATATCCTGATTTACCATTGCACATTTCATTCATTTTTCTGTGCATCAGAAGATCTTTGAACTTATATTTGTCTTTGAAACCACCTTGAAGAAGCCCTTCTCCTTCTCAATTGGAGAATTTAACACAGCCATTGCTTAAGAAAACAGTAAAATTGCTACCAATGTCAATGTATATTGAAGGTAGTTAAAACCTTGTCCTGCCAGACAAAAAATATACAACTGCGACTAAGTTCAGTTGTTATTACTAGACTCTATATCTGAAATAGAGCTTGACCTCCTTTGTGGTAAATTAAAAACTGGCCTGAAGGTACTGCTCTTTTGTAATTATTCAGAAGGCCACAGCCATTCTACAGCTTTCCTTTTATTTTTCCTAAACTTCTTTAGTACCTGTTTCTCAGATTTTGCGGGCTATTAGGTGTTTCTCACATATATCTGTGCATAATAACTCATCAGCTTTGCAAACCAATTCTTTAACATTAAGATTAAAACTAACGTAGATGATTCTCAGATGACACATACTGAGGTATAGAAAAATTCCATCATTTCCTTCCACAAAATGAGAAAGATTTTAATTCTTTTTCTCAACAGCTGCTTCATTTTTTTATGCATAGGAAAAAATATGTGCAATTACTTCAAGTACAATCAAGTCATTTAACACGGCTTTGCCATCATTGTAGTTAAAGGATATTTTAAAAGAGAAAAAAAAATCTCAAAGCACAGGTCCTGCTGTGCAGCAAAGCAATCAAATTCCTTCATAATAACAGCCTGATGGGATTCAGCAATCCGAGGAATAATGAATAACGTCTCTAATCAGTAAACAGGAAAATGCTACAACAGTCACTGAGTAAAAATTGACTATCATCTGTTGATTCTTTTGATCGGCTTTTCAAACAATAAATAGAAATATAAGTGTCTCTTACAAAGAAAAATAACTTCATTTAGTTTGTTTGATTTTATCAGGCAGTGAGAAAATGATACATCATCTTAGACTGTCCGGCAGTATTTCCTAGTCAATAAAATGCACATATAAATTTTTTTTTATAATGCATGGCCAAATTTGCCCTATCACTTGAATATGTCAAGAAAACTGATTTTGCAGTTCGTTGATAAAATTGAAGATTGTATTTCTTTATTAGTTATTCTTTGTTCTTAATTCTCAATTACTTCTTCTTCAGTATTCATCTTATGAAGTTATTTGTATCTGAATATGAAGACTCTGTTTCAAAATAGTCCTCAAGTTTCCAATGCAGTGTCTCAAATGTTGGTCGTTCCTTAGGCTCTGCATTCCAGCACTCCAACATGATGTTGTAGAATTGCTGTGGACAGTTAGATGGCTGTGGAAGTCTATAGTTTTGTCCCAACAACTGGATTACTTGAGTACCTGTCATACCTGAAAAATATAACCAACAAAAGAGGGGGGCATGGATTAGACTCTTCAATTCACAGACACTTAAACTCTAAGTTACAAAGCAAATTGATTTCTTTGATAAAGCTGTGAGATCTACCATACCCTTTACAGGTTGCAGAGATTAAACGACACCCTGCAGCAAGTAATGTCTATAAGACTGCAATTCAGGAGCAAAGGAGAAGGAAGCAATAAACCACCTCATTAATGCAAATTATCACCATCAAATTTTATCTATCTAGCTCCCACAGGCACATGGTATGGTCAGCCTCATAACTCTGCCCTCTAAGTCTGGGCAAAGCAGTTAAAGTCACACCTAAGTAAGTGACCTGCAGCAGAAAGGCCCACTTCAGAATTAATTACTTACCACTATACGGCATTTTGCCATAAGTAATGATTTCATAAAGAAGGATTCCAAATGACCACACATCGGACTTAATGCTGAATTTATTAGTACGAATGGCTTCAGGTGCAGTCCACTTCACCGGCAGCTTTATTTCGTGTTTAGATTCATAGATGTCTTCATTATCTACCTGTTAATGCATTAAGGATTCAAGCCAATTTAAAGTGATTTTTTTTTTTTTTTGCTGCCCTCATTCATTTATAACCAGTTTCACATAAAACTTAGATGGAAAATACCAAAAAAATTAGCTTAGATCAATTGATAATTAGCATAGCAAATTCTGACTCTGACATTCAAGACAGAAACAATCTGTGGGAAGTCATCCATAAAATATTTGAGAACCTACTATGTACTAAGAATAATATTGGAAGGAACATCCTACTATGTGTAGAAGAATTCATACATAATGGGATTCTGACTTCCCATCTGCTGTTTACCAAATGGAAAAATGGAAGCAAAATAGGTCTGCTTTTTTTTTAAATTTAATTCTGGTATTTAAAAGTCAATGACTTTGATAACTACCAGTTTGCTAATATTAAAAAGTAGAATCCAAATGATTTAAATTAATATATCATCTCATTGGTCTCCTAATTAATTTACACAAAGAAAAGATGATGGTTTCATGAGTATCAACATGAGAATAATTTATTTGTTATGTTTTCTGGCCCAAATCCATATTTTTAGGATACAATATGGAAATTTAGAATTAAATTCAGAGATTAATACCTCATTCTATGTCTTTATCTTAGTGTTTTTTGAATGGATGTCACCCACTGAGTAGGGAGGAAGAATTAAAAAGCCAATAATTGGCCAGCATGGTGGTGCACACCTGTCATCCCAGTGGCTTGGGAGACTGAGGCAGGAGGATCATGAATTCAAAGCCAGCCTCAGCAACAATGAGGTGCTAAACAACTCAGTGAGACCCTGTCTCTAAATAAAATACAAAATAGGGCTGAGGATGTGGCTCAGTGGTTGAGTGCCCCTGAATTCAATCCCTGGTACCTCCCCCCTAAAAAAAAAAAAAAAAAAGCTATTAATTGCTCTAGAATTCTAGCAATAGGTAAATGAGTAGATAAAGTGAACAAAGGTGGGTAGGGTAACTGTACAAAGTGCCCTGGTTTTTATACAAGACAAATAGAAGCTACATTTACTGATTGAAAAATAGGTCATAAGTTCAACCAAAACAATGGCATCATTTTCAATTCAGTTGAGTATTTTTTTTTCCTCCTTGATGAAGAAATGGGAAGAAACAGGTAGTTTGTCTATAAGATCTTCAGCTACTTGAAATGATCTATGGACCACAGAACTTTGAAGAACGCTGCTTTAAATAATAGTGAATTTATTGGTCTATCAGTCTGTTTGACTTTTAACCTATTACAAAAGCTAATTAAAACAAAACTAAACTTACCTTAAAAACTCTTGCCAGTCCAAAATCCGCTACTTTGTAGATATTATGCTCACCAACAAGGACATTTCTGGCAGCCAGATCTCTGTGGATGTAGTTCTGGGACTCCAGATAGGCCATTCCAGAAGCAACCTGTGCAGCCATGTCTACCTGTTGAGGCAGATGGATTCTTAATCCAGCATCATCTAAGGAATAAGAGAAAATAAGAGATTTATTCTGGAAAGTATTTGAACTATTGAAGTGAATTCTGACAATTTTGATGAATAAGATATTGATAGAATTATGTGCCATGGTACTGATCTGCTAAGAAAGGAGCAAGGGTATCAAATAATCCAAAGATAGGAGCAAGTTTCTAAATGAGTCCAGTTACTGCCATTTTTTCAATACCATATTTCACCAATTTATCTCTTCATGGAAACTGTTGCTTGGGTACTTTCGGATTACTTTTAAACTTTACATAGTTTATTTTAGTCATTGAGCTTATAGTGGTCCTAATTTGCATGGCTGAACAAATGAAAAGTTCACATTTTTTTTCATAAGAGTTTTCTTAAAAACTGGTTCACTAATAAAAATGAAGAGTCTAGCAGTAGTTATAAAATGTGCATATTGCAAGTGGTGAACAGAAGGATTGTCAAGTTCAAAGACAGCATCAGCAACTTAGGAAGACCCTAAGCAGCTTAGTGAGACCCTGTATCTAAATAAAATATTTTTTTAAAAGGGCTGGGGATCTGGTTTAGTGGTTAAGTGCCCCTGAGTTCAACCTGCAATACTACACACACACACACACACACACACACACACACACACACATATATATATATATATATAACATTTGTATCTCTAAATTTAATATGTATTTTTTAAATTTCGCTTTCTTAGTCTGTTGTTCCTAGAATAAGTTGCTCATCTCTCTAAGTACAAACATACCTTTAATGGGCAGCATTCCACCTATTGCTCATTCTGTAAAACTAAGTACAGGAAATTTAGGTAGTAGAGTCAGATTTATCATAAGTAAAAGAGGTCCATGCTATTTTATGATGTCTTTACAAAACAGAGTAAGTCAACTTATCTGCCATACTATTGATAGGTATCTTCAGATTTCGTTTTTTAAAGTTTCACATAAAAACAAATTATTATTATCCCTGTGTGACTAAGTAAAATACTATTACACAGAGTCCATTGGTCTTATGAACATGAGGTTTAAACACAAGTCCTGATTTGAGTGCTCACTAAAGCACAAGATTTAGGAAAACTGGCTTAAAGCTGTCAGACTTGAGATCATGGCTGGGCCTCATATTTCTCTATAACCGTAAGCAAACTGTTTAGCACCCCTGTACCTGAGTTTCCTAATCTGTATAATGGTAACAGTAACTCTTACAGTATTAATTTTTAAAATGAGAGTCAAAACAATTGAATACATGTACAGCACTTAAAACAGTACCTGGTATCTAGGAAAAACACAATAAATCCTAGCTCTTAATGTCATCATTGCTTCTAAGAAAAATGAAACATTTTGGGGACTTGTTAAGCTCAAGATATATATAAATTACCAATGTGAAAATGGCTGAAAGAAGATGAGTTTATGGGTCTAGAGTTCAGACAAGAACTCTCAGCTAAAGACATAGACTTAATGGTCATAGTTTGAGTGAGAGTTAAAACATGAAAAGTGGGTGAGGTCCTAGGAAGATATTGATTCATAAGAAACACCAATAATTGAGGGTGGCACAGGAAGCTAACCTGAAAAAAAGAAAATTGAGAAGAATCAGCCAGAATCATAAGAAAGGAGAATGTTTTAACAAATCAAAAATTTTGAGAAAGAAAATATGTCATCATAGTCAAGTTTCACAGATAAGTTCAGTAAGATAAGGACTAAGAGGCTTGTGTTAAATATAAGAATGAGGGAGTCATTGGTGAAGGGTTTTATTTGAGATCATGTGTAAGAGGCCAAAGGGTAACTTGAAGATGAGGACATACAGACAGACAGAAAGAAGAGATGGAAAATTTCAAAACCCTAGTCAAAAAGGGAAGGCAATAAGGATCTGGTAGAGGTAAATGTAATGTCATAGGAAAGCCATTATAGAATTCAGAAAAGTGGGAAGTTGTGATGGTTAAAGTATTCCAGGGTCTCTGGGGTGCTTGCTGGCTGTGTTCTAATTCTTGATTTGGACAGTAGCTGCATAGTTGCTTACTTGTGCATGTTATAATTACATGTCAAACTATGCTACATGATTTATGTACTTTCTATATAAATGCTATCTTTTCCGTTAAAAAAATGAAAGAGTCAAAGGAATTTTTAAATGAGAAAAACTTAAGCACAGCAGGTGTGTGTGTGTGTGTGTGTGTGTGTGTATAAAAGGCAGAAGCATATTTAAATTGGTTGTGAGGTAAAACTAACTGCTCACCTATCCTTTTGTCCTTTACTTTCTTTTATCCTGGGCACTAGCAGAAGACCACATTGCTCACCTCCCTTTGCAATTAAGTAGGGCCATGCCTAGTTCTGGGCAACACAGTGTGTTCAGAAATGATGGACATCACATATAGGACCTCACATAGAGGAACGAATTTCAAAATTTTAGGAAAGAGTCTAATTCCCTAAAAGAGTAGTCTAAGCCCTATCAAAATTGTTATCTGTGTTTTGCCACTGAGAGTTTTGAATTGTGTATTACAACAGGTAACATTAATTATTCAGTCTGCAACAAAATGTAAACATAAAGATAAAACATAACTCCGTAAAAAGCATAATGGAAAAGCCTGGCTGCTGTGATGGTCAAAATAGCTATGCCTTTTGATATCACATCCACTCAAAAAAGAAACAATGACATTAAGAGAAGCTGGTGACTGACCATAAGCTATGTGGCAGGCAGCTTCTAAAATAGCTTGCAGTGATCCTGCCTCCTGGAATTCACACCTTTCCAAGAGTCCTTTCCATTGGACTGTTCTGGACCCAGTGACTCACATCTGGCAGAGACTACGGCAAGAGTAATGGGGTCTCCCAGGTTAACTTATATAAGACTGTGACTTCATCTTACTGGTGCTCTGAATTCCGTTGCTTTCTTGCTTGTTCACTTTAATGAAGCAAGTTGCCACGTTAGAAGCTACCCTCCATACCAAGGAGCATGGGCCACTCTCCAGCTAACAACCAGCAAGGAGCTGACTCCCTCAGTTCTGCAGCCATGAGGAACCAACTCCTCCTGACAATCATAAAAGTGTGTTTGGAAGGGAATCCACATCCACTAAGCCTTCCGATGACTGGGACACCTGCCAAAACCTTGCTGCAGCCTTATGAAACCCAGGGCTAGAACCTGGCTAAGCTGCTCCTGGATTTCTGACCACAGAAACTGTGAGATAATAAATGTTTGCTGCTTTAAGCATCTAATTGTTGGGGTACTGTGTCGTGTAGTAATGGACAACTAACACAGGTTGATGTTAGGAATGGCATCAGTGTTATGCATACAGTTAAGAGCAAGAACTATCAAACCAGGCTTCAACCTTGGAAAAGTCACCCAAGGTGTCTATTACTCAGTTTCTTCAATCGTAAAGTAGGGGTAATAATAACGATACTTAGTTCATAAAGTGGTTCAAAAATGAAATAAGTTAACACTTGTAAAGAACTTAGAAAAATGACTGCCACATCAACTGGTTCTTCCCTCTCTTTAACTCCTACAGTCCCCCGACCTGGTTCTCCATTACCTCTTTGGCCTTATCTTCAGCTTTGCCCTTGTTATTGCAATGTCACGACAGTGGCCTCTGTGATTCTTTCTACCCCACAGGCACACTTTTATGTTATCTCCAGCCCTTTGCACTTCAGATTTCTTTTGCCCATTTTTTGTTTGTTTGTTTGTTTTTATTTGTTTGTTTGTTTTAACTTATCCACATGGTCACTTCTCATTTCCTGGAAGTCTTTACTCAGGTTATTCCATCTTGGTAAATCATTCACTGGTCAACTGTCAATTTTTGTTTGTTTGTTTCTGGGGTGTGAACTCAGGGATTCTCGACCACTGGAAAATATCCCGGCCCTATTTATTTATTTCCTTCCTTCCTTCCTTCCTTCCTTCCTTCCTTCCTTCCCCATAGGCCTCTCTCATTTGAGAGAAATTTATTACCAAAAAAAAAAATCAGCCAAGCTTGAGGACTACAAAGACTGGAATATAGAGAAATATGATTAGGAATATGTATGTTATTTCAAATATCAAATACAATACCTAATCCTATTACAGTGCATATAAAAAGGTTTTTACTGGAAAGTACAGTACTGGAAGAAATTGGGTAATACACATTTCCTATCCTGAAGAGCAGTGTCCTAGGGACTGCCTAAGTAAAGAGCAGAGCACATCTATACAACCAGACAGCAAAGCTGATGGAAATGTTCACAAACCTGTGACAGTTTATATCTGCAAAAAAAAAAAAAAAAAATGCATCCTATTACTAAAGAGACTTTTACGTTAATGATACTTATCTTGATGAGCTATTTATGAATGGCAGATTCACTTTAAGACCTATCTATTAAATCTACAACTCTTTATTGGGAACAAGTATAAATTCACTGTTCCTCTTGACTGGTAGGTACTCTTACAAATGAACGCCTTGGTAATCTTGTCCCTGATGGCCTAATCCAGCAGATGGTAGGGTTTGCACTCAGCCTTGAGTACCACATCAACCACAGAAATCCTCAATGCCCAAGGAGTTTGCAGTATAGTTAACTGGATCTTTTCAAGCTGATACCAAGAATTGCAAAACTAGCTTGACTCTCAATCCCACTCTTACTATATTCAGAATGGTCTCAACTTATTTATTCAGTCAACACATAATAAGTGCACACCTTCTATGTGACACTCTGTTCTAGCACTACAACAACAACAAAATAAAAATTCTGCCCTTATGGAATTGCATTTAGAAATACTAAAGCCAGGTGAAATGGTACACACCTATAATACCAACAATTTGGGAAGCTGAGACAGGAGGATCACCTTAGCAAATAAGTGAGGCCCTAAGCACCTTAGCAAAACTCTGTCTCAAAATAAAAAATAAAAAGAGCTGGGGATGTGGCTCAGTGGTAAAAGTGCCTCTGTGTTCTAATCTCCAATACCAAAAAAAAAAAAATCTAAAATACTAAAAATAAGCTAAATAATGTCATGCAACATAAGATGATTAATAGCTAAGGAGAGAACACCAAAGAAGAATATGAAGAGGAAAACGAAGAAGGAATATGAAGAATCAGTAGGAGATTAAACTTTACAGTTTGACAAGTGAGCCAGGTACAGTGGTGTATCCTATAACCCCAGCAACTCGGGAAGCAGACATAGAAGAAGCACAAGTTCAAAGCCCGCCTCAGCAACTTAGCAAGACCCTGTCTCAAAAAATAAAATAATAAAAAAGGCTGGGGAAGTAGCTCAGTGGTAGAGCATTCCTGAGTTGACCAGTGAACAACTTACCAAGGTAGAATAACCTGAGTAAAGACTTTCAGGAAATGAGAAGTGACCATGTGGATAAATATTAAAAAAAAAAAAAAATCAAGCAAAAAAACTCAAGTGCAAAGGGCTTGAGGTAAAATAAAAGTGTGCCTATGGAATAGAAAGAACCACAAAGGTCACTGTAGTGACACTTCAAGTACACGGGCAAAGTTGTAGATAAGGCCAAAGAGAAAGTTGTAGATAAGACCTGGAAAACCAGATCAGAAGGAGTTAAACAGAGGTAAGAACCAGTGGGAGTCTCAGAAGGTTTTAAGCTGAGGAAGAACAAACTCTGACTTATACTTCAACAAGATATCTCCAGCTGCTGTGTTAAGGAAAGACTAAAGAGGACAGGAAGCCAAAGAGGGAGACCAAGAGGGTGCAGAATCCAAAGTGGAGGCAATGATTGCTTGAACCTGAATGGGAACATTGAGAAAAGGGGAAAGACTGGGTATGTTTTCAAGGCCAGCCAATAGGATTTGTAGGTTTGTTAGGTAATGGGATGTAAGAAGCCAAAATGCCTCCCAGGTATTAGACCTGAGTGTTGTCATTGTCCAAGAAGGAATGAAACAAGGGTAGCAGATCACCGTGGAGAATCAGGTTTGGACATATCATTTTGAAACGTCTAATTGTCATTTGGAGTAGAAATTAGGGTTGCTCACAAACATTTTCCCCCTTTTTGCAAGGCACTTTAGTGGATTGTACTGCCTATTCCATTGGACTTGATTTGACCAAATGAAAAGGGTACAGAAGTGATAAAAGTTAAGAAGCTTTAAGATCCAGGATGAGATTAGTCCCATCCCCTTTCCCTACCAAGGTGACCAAAAAGAGCTGAGCTACCAATCTATTTTACACACAAAGCACAAGTAAGGAAAAAACTATTGCTGTGCTGAGCCTCTGAGATTTGAGGACCGTGGCTGCAGTCTGGACACCTGCACTGTCCAGACTGATACAACATTCCAGTGGAGAGGGCATGAAGGCAGCTGGGTGTATTATTCTGAAGTTCCAAGGTAGGGATAAAATTTTAGGAACTGTTGATACATAAACATTCAAACAATGGCACTGGGTGAAGTTAACAAAGGAAGCCAAGTGCAATGGTGCACACCTGTAATCCCAGCTACTTAGGAGTCTGAGGCGAGAGGAATGGCAGGTTCAAGGCCAGCCTGTTCAAAGCATTGGCACCCTATCTCAAAATTTAAAAATAAATTAAAAATTGAAGAGATTAACAAAGGGATTAATGGTATTGCAAAATAATTCTGGAGAACTCCAGAATGTTGAGAGGTCTGGGAGAAAATCACTTATTGAGAAGAACCAATGAAGAGGAGGATAAGTGATCAGGTTAACTATCTTGGAAGCCAAATGGAGCAAGAGACTTGAATGCTCCTGATAGATTTGAATACCAGAAATTGACAATTAGATTAGTAATGTGCATGCTGTAAGGGCTCTTATAATATGCACATTGTAATATGCACTTTGTTAGATCTAGCCCAGGATCATTCTGTACTTTTTCCTGAATAAGGCAAAAGGAGTCAACAATTGAGGTTAGTCTTTCTGTGGTGGGTAGCATTCTAAGGGTGATAAATGTGATGATCTTTATGCAATAGGTAAGTATATTTTTGTTTTTAACAGAATTTATTATGTTACATATATTCTCCATTCTTTTGTTGTTGTTTTGAAATTTAGAATTATCAGCTTCACAAGTCACCCTGAAATCAGAGAACGCTCTTATCTTTCTGATATCTTTGTTCCATTATCCTCACCTCCTTTTGCCTCTATATAGCCTATCAATCTCACTCTGACATTTCAAGAAATTACAGGAAAAGTCTGTTTTTCAAGCATGAATGATTCTCTCAGTATTTGATCTCAATTTCTTTGAATATCATATTTTAATGTGTATTATTTTATTGTTTATTAAATTATTCATTTGTAATAAACATCACAATTTCACAATGCCCTTAAGTCCTTTTTAACTGCAGAAAGCGGATGGAGGAATAAAGCTAATAGTATATTTTTGCTTTTTAGTCTGAAAATTCTAATGTTGCCTAGCAAAGAGGTCATTTTAAACACCAAGTACAATATTAGCAAATACTAGCAAAGACAAAAATGTCAGATACCTCTCTTGCTCTTTTCCCTGATGTTTCCCATGTTCCAGATTCTGTACCATAGAAAATATGGCTTACAGTGTTCAATTAGTGTAAAAAGTAGAGCATTATGCAAAAAATCCATTGATCAGTTTCCCACATTACATTTAAGCTCTCTGATGTGTCTATTGTGAACAATTTATTCTTCCACTACATAAATATTTTTCTCCCTTTGAGTCCGCAGAATATATCCTATTAAATAGTAGTTGAGCCATTCAATGTCACAACATTCATTCTTACAGATATACACATAGTAAATATCCTTTGGGTTAGACAAAGCTGGCTAAATTGACATTTATAGGACTAGCTAAACTAAATTCCTCCTTTTCTTTTTTCCTTTTATTGAGTCTTTAGCTTACTTTGGAGATATTCTTGCAGACTTCCATGTCTCATCAACTCTGTAATAATATAAATTGGATCTTCTAAAGTGCAAACAGCATAAAGCTGGATAAGCTTTGGATGTCTTAGACTCTTCATTATCTGTGCCTCCCTCAGGAAGTCATTTGGATCCATTGAACCTGAAACAAGAAAAGGAGGAAATCACTTTATGTTATTGAGGCATTCCTGTCCTCACAGCAGCCTGGTGGGAATCGCCGAGATTGCCTCCTGCCTCTCAGTAACAGAAGAGCATCAGTGTCACAAATCTTCAGAGTTATCAGAGGAGAGAATCAGTTCAGCCAGGGCAACCTAATTACTAGATGTGGTGTTGTATCAGGGATGTGCACTTTATATGTTATGACCCGTAGGTGAAAAACGGTTGATTTGGGCCCATGTGAAAAATGAAGAGCAAAGGAGAGACTGACAGTCTAATTGATAAAACATGGCAGGCATCTGAAGAGCACAAAGAGAAGACATCCTATCAACATGAACACTGGAGGACACTGAATGTCTAATTACTCCAGTCAGAGCTCTTTTTGGATCAAGAAAAGACGGATGGTTGCCCTGGCCTTGGTACCCACTGTGGGAACAGCTGAAAAACAACTCTAAAACAATGCTATTCTGCCAAATTTATATTCTTATTCCTGTAGGAACACAGGCTATGGGCCACATAGAAAACATTCAAGGGACATCCCCAAAAGATAGTGGCTTTTTTTTTCCACCAATTTTACATGTTTAATGTGAAAATAATACTCAACATTTTCTCCCATACCATTTGCTTCCACTACCACCAGAGCCTCAAAAGCTGGATCAAATGATTAGGGAGATGGCATTGAAGCATATTTTGAAGACTAATCTATAATTAAATTGTGTTTAGATGGTTCAACTCTGAGTCACCACGCAAGGTGCCCAGCAGTTAATGTCAGATAAAATCTAAGAGGAGGAAGGATATCTGGAGTTGACATTTCATCAGTAATTTTTAAATCTTTTTTTTCTTCTAGGCTGTGATGTTTCAGAAACATTACTGTAATTGAAGAAATACTGTCATTTCACATCTTAGTATTCACTGTAGATAGTGCAAATATCATTTCTACTGATGTCCAAAGAGACCATTCCATTTATCATCCTCTGAATGTCAGAGACTCTACAACTGACATTAGAACCTGGATGTGGATAAGCTTTGACAATTCAAGGTAGCACTATGACTTGTTTGTTAATGTCAAGTTAAGAAGAGTTTCATATGACCTACATACAGGTTATTTCACATAAGCATTGAAACAGTCTACCTTTTAAGAGCCCAGAAGCTTAGGATCCAGATCCAATCAAAACTCTGGAACCTGGAAAAATCTTAGCTCTGTTACTGTTCCCTGTGCAATCTTAAGCAGGTTACCAAATCTCTCTGAACTTCAGTCTCTTCATCCACAAAGTACAGCTAGTAATCCTACTAATATCAGAAAATCATTATCAGGATAATAACAATGCCTGGAAAATGTGTACTCAAAGATTGCTGACCATTATATGTATCATTATTAACATGCACACTCATAGGAAAACCAAACAGACCAACTGTAAATATTTTTCATTGACTGAGGAGAAAAGAGGTAAGGTGTTAGAGAAGAAAAAAATGTTTTCTTCTATTTTCTTTTCCATTCCATTTTTTTCCTTTCTTTTTAGTTTTATCAATTCTAGTTCTGACATTAAGTTTAATCCACATAATCAAATAAGTTTAAAATTTGGAATCATAATAAAAAAATAACACTGGAAGGAAAAGAGACCTCTACACCAAAATAAAGTACTTTGTTCTTGGTTGGTATAACTAGTTTGTCTGGGATCAAATACGGATACCATATGACTGCCCCCCTCAAAATAAAATGATTCATGAAGGGTTCTGTGATAACAGAATTAGTATCATCACTCAGACTGTTTATGCAGGACACTTAAACCATGCCCAAGTCACACTATCTGCAAGAGCTGAAATCATGATATGCCAGGAGCCTCTGTAGGTAGAGAACTCAGGGAACTCCTTCATGGCTATGCTGGTAGAGCAACAGAGACCCAATCTCAACTCAGTAACGCAACATTAAATATTAATTTTTGCCTGTCATAGCTACTGCAGGAGTTGATTTCAGGCTCATCTTTATTGCATGGTAGTCTGCTAAGCAATAAATAGCTGCTAAGATTGATGAATGGCCCCAGTGAAGTGAAGACATTTAACCAATCACCAAAGCTGTTTGTTGCTATTACACTGTAAATCAATAATAATTATTCCTGTTGGAAAGAAAACTATTGTGCTTTTTTTTTACTATAAAAAATATGATTTTTTGTTCTCTTTTGACCTCCAGAAGGCCTTCCTTAGAAAGCAATGCTAGCAAGCATAGCTTGACGCTTTTCTTTCTTTTCCTTTTTTGGGGGTGGAGGGAGGGAGGAATGATTAGATTAACAATAAATTTAAAATTTATGTCTCAATAGTTCAACACGTTTAGGATTTAAAAGCACATATACATGATGACTGAAAATATTAGATGCTGAAATAGATTGTCCTCACCTGAGTGATGGCATCTGGCCCCTTAAAAGAGCCTCTCTGTTGTTTCCTCTGCCAGATGTTAATGCTAGAACTAAACTCCTGCACCAGTGAATCTACAATTCAGGGTGTGCATCTATCAGCAGCACCACAGAACCTAACATTTAATAAAAACTCACTGCATATACTTTATTCACATTTACTCAATCCTCATACAATCCTATAAAGTGGGGGCTATTTTAATTCACATGTCCAGATGAGGAGACTCAGAAAGGTTAAAAAATTATACAAGTTACAGAGGACAGAGCCAGGTTTACCTTTATGCTCTTAACTGATAACATCACAAGGTCCCAACCTTTTCAGTCCATGGCATCCTTAGTGCATCAGTAATATTTTTATAGTATGCCAGGTTAAAATGCATATTTAATAGTTCAATTACTAAACAACTAGGAAGTATCCATCCTAATAACTTAATAGCCATTTGAAAAATTAATACAGGTAAATTAAGAGGAAAAAAATAATATTTATTTCATTTTTAACCACAGTTATTTACTAAAGTGATATAAGTACTATACAACTTCTCAAAATCAAGTAAGAGTTCAAACAGAAGTTCTGGATCCTGGAAAAATCTCAGCTCTGTTACTCTTCCCTGTGCAATCTTGAGCAAGTTACCCAAATCTCTCTGACCTTCAGGTTCAGCTCTACCACCTTTATTTCCTGATCTGTGTCAATTTTTGTGTGTATCTTGCCAATATTGGTCCACAGTGATCATCAAAACTCCAGCTTCACAAAAATATGATGTCAGAAAAAGGAATGTAATGATCTAAATCTGAATCTACAAACTACCTAAAGGTAGCAATTTGTGTTGTTTTGAAAACGTTTACCTCAAAACTTTTAAATATCCCACAGACCCCTGAGAATTCACTGTGATGCCTCAATGTGCCTTAGCACAACAGTTTGGAAACAGTGCTATTACACACTCTGCCAGCCAGCAAATCCCAAGGGCTCAAGTTCTGCCACCAGGAAGCTTTTCAAATTTCTAAGAACTCTGGGCTCAGCAAGTAACAGAGGGCCCCCAGAAAACTCATCTAGCCTGTAGAGTTGGAACCCATATCTGTTTTGTAGAATAATGAAAATGCTTGTAAGGAAAAAAAGGAAGATTAACCTTTTGTTGCTGTTATTATTCTTTTCTATGTTATTAGAGGAAGATAGGAGACTGCCACAGTGATGTTGCACTTTTACAGAATGTCACTTCCATGGGGTCTGATATAATGGTGATAAGTCAAAAATCCCAGCTCTGCCATTTACTGTTTAATAATAATAATAATAATAATAATAATAATAAAATTTTTATTGGTTACCTACTATGAGCCAAGCATTATGCAAAGCATTTGTACTAGTGACCTAATTTAATCTTCATAATAACCCTGCTAGGTATATCTTATTATCCCCCATCACATAAATGATAAAACTGAGAGATAGAGTAGTTCAAAAATTTGCTCAAGATTTGAATACAAAGTCTTAGGAAAGTTATTTTTAATCTCTCTAAATTCTCTTATCCCACCCTTAAAAATGAGGGACTGTTCATTTTAGCATACTTCTTCTGCCTTCAAAAGGATAAGTGAAGATAGGAGAAGAAATACTTCCTGCAAGTTCAATTATGGGATTCTTTAGATGAACCATTTTATCTTTTAGTCATAGTCATTTGGCATCTAATAAAACAGTTATTCCCCGAATATCACCAAAGTTCCATCTGATTTTTCAGTAAGTTTTTACAGTCAGTGGGGTTTTTGTTTTGTTTTGTTTTTGTTTGTTGTTTTGTTTTGTTTGTTTTTGTTTTTTAACTAAGATAGAAATGAAAGGGAAGAAGGACAATAGAAGACTGAATCCTTTAGATAAGAAATGTGTTGTTGGAATCTTCATCTGAGAACCTTTTATGCTTAGCTAATCCAAGGAGCATGTTGGCCTTTATATTTTAAAGCTTGTCCACATGTTATGGTCACCTGGGGTGGCAAGACAGATGACAACACCTGTTTGCTGCCAGCACTGACTGTCCCATGACCTCTTGGGCATTTCACAGTGGCAAATTGAGCCCATAAAAATCCACGTATGCCATTTAATCTTTAATATTTTCACACCTGGTTTTAATGTCTTTACAGCCACTGGAGTAGTGTTGTTCCAGAGGCCTTCCCAAACTTCTCCAAACTGACCGGATCCCAATCGCTTCAGAAGCTGGACAGAGTTGCGGTCTATCTCCCACTGGTCCACGGTTTTATAGGACAAATCAAAAGGAGTTGGGACTTGTATCTGTTTTGCAGAATAATGAGAATATGTGTAAGAGAAAAAGGAAGATTAACATTCTGTTGTTCAAAATAATAGTGTAGGTACTTGTTGAGGGAAATATTACTTTTAAAAACAAAAACACTAGAAGTTACATTCTAATTCCTTGAAGATAGAAAACAATTGTAGGAGATTCTGCATTGTTAACTCTTTAGATTCATTCTCTCTCAGATCCTGCACTTTGATGTCCATCTGTAGCCAATACCATGCTCACACACAGGTCTGCAATGATGTTTCCGCCTCTCTGCTCAGCTAAACCCTCCCAATTTCAGCCTCCATTGGAGTTCCACTCATTCACAAGGCCTTCTCAAACTCTGGCTGTAGTATTAACTAGATATATTATACATTTCTGCAAAATATGTATTATATATTATATATTTTTGCAAAATAAAATCAATTCATTTTTGTTTAATTTGTTTGTTTGTTCATTCATTTAATAAATAAAATTTTTAAAGTAGGAACTATCTGCCCTTCAGCAAACAAAACAGGCAAGGCCCCTGCCATCTTAGAGTTCGTAGTAAAGATTTCCATCTGACACACTTTCTCTGTTGCAACTATTAAACTCACTGTAATGGCACAAAATCAGCCAACAATAGTAAATGAATGAGCATATCTCTTCCAATAAAACTCGTTTACAAAAATGAATATGAAACAGATAGTTTTCCTCTTCCTGCCTTAAGTAAACAAATGATAAATTTCTTTTTCCTGAACTGATATCACATGGCAAATACTTAAAAACAGTTTGAAAGCAGAAAGTAGTTCACCTTTAAGCATGGTTTCTCCAGCTTGACACACAGGCCATCACTTGTGGTGGTGTAGTAGTTCACGAATTCATTCAGTGTTGAGAAAGTTTTTCTCCGGGTAAGGAAAAAGCCCCCTTGGTCTAGTCTCCTGATTCTGTAGTGTTTCACAACTCCTTCATCTAAAACTGGAACCCAAAATAAGTCCTGTTAATAAACTTATTGCCAAAGCCAAGTAGATTCATTTTGTGGAGATTTTTCAATGTATGGCATAAAATTTATATAGAATTCAATGTTTCTCAACTTTGTCTCAGAAGAGTTAAGGAAGTTGATCAAGGATACACAGAAAGAAAGATTAACATTCTGTTGTTCAAAATAATAGTATAGGTACTTGTTAAAGGAAATATCAAGAAAGAAAGAAAAAAGAGAGGGAGGGAGGGAGGGAAGGAAGGAAGGAAGGAAGGAAGGAAGGAAGGAGAAAAGGAAAAATAATTTCAAGATCCTAGCACTAAAGGAAGTACAAGATAAAAAATAAAGAAGTGAGGTTAATACTAAAACCATTCCATGCTTTGAGGACTACACTTGATTTAAAAAGCCATAAAATTAACTCTCATTCCAGAAATTCAAGGTAAAAAAATCTTGTCAGTTTCAGAAATCACAGTGTCCCTGTGATAAAATCACAAAGGTGTTTAGAAACAGTTGAACTCTTTCTGGTAATTTTTCCATGGAGTTTGATAACATGAGACTGAAATAGAACAAAGAGGGTCCTCAGTACCAACTTACAATGTTATAAGGGATTCTGCAGGGCCACTCACTGTACTATCCCTCAATGTAGGCTTATACCAGAATGTCCCAGCACAGCTCAATAAAAACAATTCCATAGGTCCTAAAATGATGCAGTTCACATGTGCAAATTTCCTGCAGCTTTGACTAATCCAAAGATAAATCTCATAGGATCTGAAAGAATAAACAACCTGCATCATTTTTAGGTAGTCTGACTTACAGCGAATATTTTATTATTTCTCCTTGCTACCAACCATTGTTCTTTCTTCTGTTATTGGCACTCCAATCTTTCTCATAAAACCATTGCTTCTCTAAGAACATATGATGCAGAGAGACTTGGTGCCCACCTTGAGTTGAGGGAGACCTAATCAGACCAATTAAATCCAAGGAGCACCAATTCCAGGGTTCACATCAGGGAGCTCCAGGAGGACAAGAGGAGTTTTATTGCTGCTGTTGTTTTTGTTTTTACTGATGGGAATTTGGAGCTATTGGCAGAATCCTTGCCTCCAGCATGGAGCAAGCTTACATGAGAAGAGAGGTAGCCCCTGAAGCCAGCCAATTCTGGCTTTACAGCTGCAAGAGTCAATTACTTTTTGCTTAAATTAGTTTGAATTAGGTTTTCTACATTTGCATTCAAAATATTGACTGGTGCAATTCATACCTATTCTTTCACTTAGCAAAGTTATTGATGAGCATTGAACAGCATTTACCTTGAATATAGCTTTCTGAGTTCCTTCTAAATATAGAAAGTTATGCTCCAATAACCAGGTTTAACTGGAGCAAAACTTTCATGAAAGGAAAGAAGACATTCTCATCCCAACAAAAGGAGATGTACTGAAGGTATGCCCATGGCTAGGAAAAGAATTTCTTCAAAAAAACAATTGGTGCGCACCTGGCTAGGTATAATGAAAGAAGGCAACATCTAAAAGTGTTGGCAAAGCAGTGGAATGACTTCTTATACATAGTTGAGCAAAGCATAATTTTATCACCTTTTTTTTTTTTTTTTGGTATGGAGATTGAACCCAGGGGCACTTAACACTGAGCCACACCCCCAGCGCTTTTCTATTTTTCAAGTTATTATGTACTAAGGTTGAACATAGTCCTGTCTATAATAACTCTACCACCATGTATGAAATCAGCAAAAATGCACAATATATTTGCCAAAGCACACATATAAGAATGCTTTTGGTGGCACAAAAACAATCCAAATGCCCATAAACTAAGAATAAATTAATATATTATTGCTTATATGTCAAGTGGAATACAATAAAGATTTTCAAATAAACAAGCGACTACACTTAACATGAATGAATCTCACAAACAATTTTACATATGATTCCATTATTAAAAAGTTTAAAATGACCCAAAATCATTGATACGAGGAGTCAGTGAGTGAGGTATCAGCAGTATCCCACACAGTAACTAAGCATTGGTTACCTGGATATATTATGTAAATATTTGTTAAATGCTTATGAACTGTGTACTTTTGTTATGTGACTATACATCAATTTAAAAGAACACTACAAGAGAATAGTTATCTGCCTCTGTTCATGTTCACTTTCCCAAAATGCTACATCATGGTGCATGCTGCTGAAATATTTAAGTCTGCAAAGTTAAAGTAAATGCCACCTAATTCTCATGTTGGGTATAGGAAATCTCAATCAAGTATTCACAGAACATTAACTTTAACCAAATAAATTTTCTGGTAAACACTGTGAGAAACCTAGCTGCAAAATTCTCCTTTAAATCACTGAATGAGTTGACTTGTGGTATATTTGTTACTAGCCAGAAAAATGCAGGGGGAATAGCAAACAAAATAGCAACTACACGAATTCAATACTAAATTTGAAGGTAGCCTATAACAGTATCAACAACAATAAAGTAACCAATACAGCAGACTAACACAACTATAATTTAATAGCATACCTTTCATTTCCTTCCCAACACTCTTTAGTTTGTATTCCATGGCAATTACACGGCCGTATCCCTAGATAAAAGCTCCAGAAAAGATTTGCTTCTCACTTATAGGTATCAGACAGTCCTACTTAAAATCAGAAACACACTCACAATTCACTCTACTCCTTGATTAAAATGCCCAATGTTCTCCCCTTTACAGCCCAGGCCTGCTTCCAGCTGAAGGGCAGTCACGTAAAAAGTGGTCTAGGTGGCTTCCTCTCTATTTCTCTCTCTAGAGTTGCTCCCTCTCCTTGGCATTGCTTGCTGAGTTCTGAGTATTCAGGGAAGAAGCAGAAGAAGGAAGGGCAAGAACAGGAAGCCCACACTTAGATGGGTCCAACATCAGTGGGCTTCACAGGCTGAGCATGCTGACAATGTTTCCAGCTGACTTCCCTGTGGACACTCAGATAGGCCCTCTAGAGCTTTCTCATCCCTGCAGGACCTCCCATTACAGCTCCCAAGAGGCAGGTTTTCCTAGGCTGCCTGCACCCTATGGCTTCTCAGCTCTCTTTGGCAGTTCATCTACCACACTTCACCCCAGGAGGTCTCTCCTCACCCTCTGACAGAAGTTCCACTTGGGTGGAACTCTGAACTCCTCCAGGCCATCTATTTACAGTTCCCTGGCATTTTTGCTCATGTAGGAGGCCCAGTTATGGTCCTGAGAAAATATAGGAGATGAGGCAGTTCTTATCTTGCCAATTGATTACTGGGAGGAAAGGCTGATATCACAAGGCACTTCTATCCCAATGCCATAGGCTATGCATACTTCTCAGCCTACATTAGGCACCTGTGTTCTATCCTCCAACAGCAGAGAACAGAGAGCAAGCTCCTTGTGGCCTTTCCTGAAGGTCTTTCTCACTAGGTTTGGGGCTCCCACTCATCACTTGGAAGAGAGTCTGGGCTCAGATTGTGCCCACAGTAAAATGCTCTCATCAAATCCATGCCTTCCACATGTGAGGGACTCATGAGCAGCAGTACCTATCTTTGACCAAATCCTTTATAAATCTGGGTCTGGGGATCTGGCTTTGGAATTTGACTTTTATTTGATAGCCTCAGTCAAAAATTGCATTTAAACATTCCACATTTATTGAGCCAAGCACTCTGCTAAGCATTATCTTGCATTATTTTGTCATAGCTTCATAACAGTCACACTGGGTAGATGTTACCAGACCAATTTTGTTGCTCATTGAAGAGAGTGGGTAGCACAGCCAGGATTCAATTCGGGATCTGATGATGCTAAGATTCACAGTATCCAGTGGGTTTCAGATTAACTAAAACACCTCTGGTTCATGACAATAAAATTTCATCATCTGAATATGTGAAATGTTTACAGTTCTTTTGATTAAAGTACAAAGGCCAAGAGTATGTTCAACTTCTCCAAAGAGAATCAGTTTCTTAAGTTACAGATTTCTTTTAAACTGGCTAAAATACATCATGATATTCTGATCTGTCAAGTTACCAATCCCACTGACTGTGTGACTCTTGGGGCAAGGTTAATTGCCCTGTATAATCATCACCAAATAGAAGGCTTTTTATTAGGATATAGAGCTTAGCTCATAACAGATTTCTGTATATGGATTAAAAAGCTAACAAAAAAATCGAAGAGAGCTGTAAACAATATCATGTCAGTCTCGATTCATTTCTCCTCAATGTAATAAAAAATATTAGAAGTAGAAGGGTAGCAAAATATAAAGTATACCTGCAATTTATATAAATTACTAGCCTGAAAATTCAAGCCTTGCCATTTATCAAAAAGAAAAGTGCATAAATTATAGCTGAGATGTCTGGTAAGCCAATAGCTCTGTAATTGGAAATGATGAAAAGCAATAAAAAAATTCTCCTTTTTTAAACAAGATTGACCATTTTCTGGATCCAAATTGAAGTGGACTATGTGTAAATTAGACACAAATTTATGGATTTCACTTTAATGGACCACAAAATATCTAATAGTTTGCAAGCTAGAGATTAAAGTCAATAGATGACTGAAGGGTTAAAGTACTCCTTGTTATTTTCTTCGTAGGGGATGCAAATCACAATGATTGATATGGCTTTGGCAATTGCTATTGATTATAAAGAAAGCCCAAGCAAATGTTTGCCAGATCTTTGTAGATACAGGTTTAAGCTCTCAACTATAAAACCCAATATTTGGCAATACATCTAGGGTTTTTAAGCACAATAAGAGTAATTTTATTTAATAGGAAAAGCATTAGAGTAGGAGACTGGAGACACTGGTTAAAATTTATCTAGTATGCAACCAAAAATATGTCAAGCTCTCTGGGCTTTGATTTTTTTATTATTAAAATTTTAAAAGTAGGCTTTAAAAATTCTTAAATTTGCAAATATTTCCACCTTCATGTTCAACTATTTGTGATAGTTGTTTTTTCCTCTCCCAGGATCACAGAATTCTGAAATATCTCTCCTTCTCTCTCTCTCTCTCTCTCTCTCTCTC